AATCTAGTCAAATCACAATCCGATCAGAGCATCGCTCTGAAAACCCAGCAACGGAACAGGGCAGAGATAAAACTCATTCAACCAACAAGCAAAGTGAGTGAGAGCTGTTATGTTCCCTTAAAGATTAAAATGTTTCAGGACTTTAAACCAGTTTTAGAGAGTTTTTTGAAAACTCTCTAAAGAGAAAAAATGTGGGAGACATGACAGGGAGGGCATAACACATCATGCAGTCTTAGAAGGTACTTTGTAAAACAGGGGTCTCCAACCTTGGCAACTTTAAGATCTGTGAACTTCAAGGACCTGTTGAAGTGCACAGATAGTTGCCAAAGTTGGAGACGCCTGTTCTAAAAGATCTTCCCTTGCAGCTTATTTGGAATGCATTAATCTCTCCTAGTGACAGAGTTGTCACACAGTTCTCTGTCTGTCTGTCTGTCTTTCTTTCTTTCTGTCTCTCTCTCTCTCTCTCTTTCTTTCTGTCTGTCTGTCTATCTCTCTCTCTTTCTTTCTGTCTGTCTATCTCTCTGTCTGTCTGTCTCTCTCTCTGTCTTTCTGTCTGTCTCTGTCTGTCTCTGTCTCTCTCTGTCTGTCTGTCTCTCTGTCTCTCTGTTTCTCTGTCTCTGTCTTTCTTTCTGTCTGTCTCTGTCTCTCTGTCTGTCTCTGTCTCTCTCTCTGTCTCCCTGTTTCTCTGACTCTGTCTTTCTTTCTGTCTGTCTCTGTCTCTCTGTCTGTCTCTGTCTCTCTCTCTGTCTCCCTGTTTCTCTGACTCTGTCTTTCTTTCTGTCTGTCTCTGTGTCTCCCTCTCTCTGTGTGTCTGTCTATCTGTTTCTCTCTCTCTCTCTCTCTCTCTCTCTCTCTCTCTCTCTCTGTCTCTGTCTTTCTGTCTCTGTCTTTCTTTCTGTCCCTGTGTCTCCTCCCTCTCTCTCTCCACAGTTGTCTTTCAATATCTCCAAAATTTGGTCCAGAGGGTGTGAGGCCTTACTAAAGCCAGCACGTGCCCACCATTGTAAGCGTAGGAGAAGAGTGGCAAAATCCACTTTGCTACCAGTTTGCATATGTGAGCTTGCATGTGCCACCTCCACCCATGCGCAGGACCTTCTGCGCATGTGCAGAGTGTAAAAAACGGACGTGATGACGTCCGGGCAGGTGGGCGGAACCTGCTACCAAGCACGCCTGCAAATGTAAGTAGAACAGCGAAGGGGAAATCCGCCCTGCCACGCGATTTAGCTTATCTAGAAAGCAGGAAATGCTGCTTTCTACCTAATATAAATCACGCATCACAGCTGATCTTCGGAAATACCGGTTCGCCCGAACCAGTAGCAATTTTTTACTACCAGTTAGGGCTAACCGGTAGCATTTCACCCCAGGGATGGAGCTAAAAGAGGGAGCAGCCTAGAATCCCTAGGCAGCATGAAACTAAGTCCACTTGTGCCTATGTAGAGATTCTAGGCGTATCCCTCTTTTAACTCCAACCCCTCCCCCCAGATATTGCCACTCTCCCACGCTTACAACCAAATGAAAGCAACACAAGAAAATGTTAAAATAATATTAATACTAAAATGTAATATTAATATTAAAACGGACTTAAAAAAGGACTACCGTACATAGGGATTCTAAGCTGATCCTTTTTTTCAATCCCGCCCCAGGTTCCACCTCTCCTTCTCCTACCGTGAGCCGCCTAAATTTGTCTCTAGGCAAAATGCACACAAGCTCTCCCCATTTTTAGTCTCAGGAGGCCTGCTAGGCCCAAAATGGGGTGCTGGGGTGTGCATGCACGGGAGGAACATCGGTGTTGCATGCAGGTACAGGGGGCAGGGGGCATTGCATTATGGGTGTGGACACATGCGCTGTTGCGTGCTCACGATTTCAGCACACAAGGAGAGACCAGTTGGCCATCACTGTTCTAGGTGGTTAATGAGTCAGCTGAAAAAGTTGGGAGCCTTACTCCTAAAAGAATCCAGTGTATTTCTCAAGCCACAAAGTTTATACACGTTAAGGAATTCTTAACCACCTCACCATTAAATATACTAGGACTATGTTTAACGACCTGCTAAGTTGAGTTTCTAAAATTCATCTCTTCTGGGTTTGTAATTTATGTTGAGCCATAAATTAAGTAGGTCAAGTGGACTCACGTAACTTATTAAACCACAATAACATAAAAGATCCAAGCTTTAAACTAACCCAGCTTACCCTGTTATTCAATAGGTGTGTGCAAATCTGACAGATTCAAGGGCAGAATATTCTGTTCTTTTCCAGAACATTCTGTTTTCCTCCTGCTCTCGTCTGCGTGGGGGAACTTCTCTTCTGGAAGGAATTGTTTTGGGACAGGAAATAAATCTGAAATGATAGCTTTCCCCTTCCTTATAAAATGCACCCATTAGACCATTTGCTGACCCATTGAACGATTTTGTGTGGATGCCATTAATGTGTGTGTCAGTCCGACCTTTAAACCTCTTGGCCAAAACAATTTCTGAACCGGTTTAGAACTTTCTCACATTTGGACCTGATGTTGTTGCAGCAAATTATATTTAATTCTGTTTCCAATCTGAGTATTCTTTCTTTCCTGGAATAAGCATCTGCATAAAATAAACAGCTAAATCAATAATCAAATTCACCATGCCTTCTGGAAGTCAATTTTTTAATAGTTGTATTCTTTGAGTTCCCAGTCCTTTTTTTTCAGTTTTAAGAAACCAAACCACAAAGACTCAGTGTAATTTATCCCTGGATTACTAATTTACTAAATAAATGGCTGAATTATACTCTTCCTATTTCCCCATAGTTAGTCACAACTGAGAATCAGATCATCAGCCAAACTGCCCTATTTCATTCATATTAAATAGGGTTTCAGAACCTGAACAAGAGAACAACACTGAATTCAACTAGCCTGATTTAACGGACAGATGAGAATTGATACAATCCACGCATGTGCAGAGTGTAAAAAACAGATGTGATGACGTCCGGGCAGGTGGGCGGAGCCTGCTACCAAGCATGCCTGCAAATGTAAGTAGAACA